TTACCTTCATGTGCTTCATCATTTTATCTAGGGCTTGATAGTCTTTCATTCAAGTAAATGTGGTTAAGCTACACCTTAGTTAGGTAGTCTAAACATGTTAACCTTTGATGGATCATGCTTGCTTCAGATTTAATGAACTTCTTGAGGATATTATAGCAACCAAGTGTTGCTATGTATCATGACCATAATATATATTGTTTTTCCCCCAATTTAGCTCTAATCTAGCATGTGTATAGGGATGGAGGCGGATTCACTTCCCTAGTCCTCTTTACTTGTATCTCATCTCCTTTAAATTCTTGCAAGCTTTTAATTTATGCACCTTAATTTCATAACTTAAGTGACAACCAACAAATCCTCTATGAACACCCCTATCATTCTAAAAAGACTCTAGACACTTAGGTTGCCATAGATTAGCGCAGTCCCAGTGGTTCGACTTATCCAACTAATAGCCCTATTTTACAATGATTCGTGCTATTGCGAAGGTTGATTTATAATTATAATCGACTCAACCGATCATCCACATTGGCTATCAGTATTCTAATTATGATGCTAAACTAGAACCACCGGTTGAATAGATTATGATGTCAACCTCATCGACATCATGGATCTTGTGTAACTCATTTTTGTCTTCATCATTATCCCTATAAGAGAATTGGAACACTCGAAGTTTGGAAATGCAGAGTCTGTGAGGAACAAAACGCGCGATGACTTCGGCACCACTATTGGCGCGCGTTATTGGTGTGTGCCCATTCCTTTGTTTTTATGAGAGATAGCACATCAACTATCACACCTCTCACTTCTCATGTGTATAATTTGATAAATGGAGTAGATCGGATTGCACTCAAATCATAATTATTCAGGAAATGCTTCTTACAGACAGCACTAGCTGTTAAAACATAAATATTCACGACCTTGAATAAAACATCGTTCATGCAGTAGAAGAGGCAGGATGGTAATCGAAATCGAGCAATGGTAGGGTGTTGGCTAGGTGCCTTTTGACGATCAAGTCAGTTTTGAGAGTTTGTATATTAAAAGAAATAAATTATGCAATTAATTTTTCCTACCTGATTGGTTGACTGGTCTCACATTTATAACCAATTGAAGATCCGAACTTCTCGTGATTCAAACAATTTTTTTTTTGGGAATCTCATTAGCGTCATCCTCATTTGAATTTAAAGTTTTCTGTTATTCTGTTTGAATTTCAACTAATGAATCTTCTTTTATTTGAATTTGAATTTGAATTGTCATCATCTTTTCCTTTATTATCAGGAACTACATTTATCTGGACATACTATGGAGATTTGAATGTTATGGAAATCAAAGTGGAACTATTTAATTTTCGTGTTGGACAATTTTAGTTATGCAGATGCTAACCAACCATTTTCATTTTTGACTTTGAACTCAACTGTGGGAGAAATTGTTTCCATTTACCTATGTAAAGTGGGGACAAGGATCCTCTCCAGCATAGGAGAAGTCCAGTATAGTATCTAGTGGTTGAGATTGAATTGATAAATGGGATTCTCTAGTGATAATGTAATCTCAACCACTGGATATTGTGCTGAACCTCTCATGCACTGGAGAGAATTCTTATCCGTAAAGTGGACGTATTACATCAGTTATGCTTTGTAAATTTCGGGGAATTGAATGTTACCAAAATGAAAGAGCTTCCCAATTTTATTTCTTGGAAGTCAAGATGTGTAAATCACACGAAACACGATAATGACTAATGGTCAAGAATAATTGATGAAAATTTGTTCTAATACGAACATGTCAATTGAAATTTATAAATTTGGTCAACCATAGAAAAATATATATGAAGTCTTTGGCAAGGTCGTTACGCATTACTTTAGAATGGAAAAAAATATAGTGATCTTACAAGTCATTCTCAAAATGGAAGACTACTGTTAGCATTAAACCCTGAGCCCATAGAAAGTACAATGGAACTCAAACAAGTTCCCATAGGAACACAAGATATACATTAATTGCACGCTTTCCAGAGTCTGAAGTAATCCATGAAGTTCAAAGATTCGTAAGTTATACATGGATACATGTAGATAGTTAGTCAATTGAATTAAGAATATACATATATAGTTAACCAATATAGGAAAAATCGAAAATTTTTAAAACATTGAAATGGGAGAAAAATTAGTTTAAAGTTTGAATTATTTATTTCTTTGAATTTGAAAGCATCAATTCCATCCATAAATAGCCCACAATTTTAATTCTCATTGGGCTATTTAATTTTTTGCTACGAATCATATCCTTTGTGTCGAGTGTACATTCGAATCCCATTGTATAAGTCCACAGTTTACATCTCACTCATGTCAAGGAGGGTGGGTACGGGTGAGAGTTATAGAGTGAAAAGACTTCTTAAAAAAAAAAAAAAATGATTTATTTTGCATGCAATAGATGCGTGACTTACCAAGTATGGACTGTAACTCTCTTTTCATTTTTTTAGAAAAAGAAAAAATAATAGTATGTTATTGCATTTGTCTGAAAAAAAAAAAAGAAAAAAAAAGAAGAATAAATAATGTACAAAAAAAATAATAATTAAATAAAAAAAATTAAACCCGAACAACTTGCCATAATTTGTTTGGAAAAATGAGAATAAGAAATGAAATAGGTAATGCACAAAAGAAACATTTTCCACTTTCCCTCCCCTTTTTTTAAAAAATTTAAAATTAATTTTCAACCTATTTATAGCACTCTCTTTACTACTATCCAAATATAAGAACTGTGATGACATTGTGGGCAGGTGTGCCATAGGCGGGTGCAAGACACTGATAGGTTACCACACTGGCAAGTTATAAGTGCACAATCTCACATCGCATGGGAAAGGGAAAGGTGAAATACTTATATATAGGTGTGTCACTCCAATTAGTATGAGGCCTTTTGGGGTAAAATTCAAAATCAAAACCGTGCGAGCTCAAGCCCAAAGCGGACAATATCATACCATGTGGTGGAGTGAGTCGTTACAAATGGTATCAAAGCTTGACCCAACCGGAAGTGTGCCAACGGAGACGTCGGGCCTCAAGGGAGGTGGATTGTGATGACCCTATGGGCGGGTATGCCGTGAGTGGGTGCGAGACACTAATAGGCTACCACACTAGCGAAATACGAGTGCACAATATCACATCGTCTGGGAAAAGAAAAGGTGAAGTCCTTATATATAGGTGTGTTACTCCAATTGGTATGAGACCTTTTGTGGTAAAGCCCAAAATCAAAACCGTGCGGGCTTAGGCTAAAAGCGGACAATATCATACAATGTGATGGAGTGGGTTGTTACAAATAGTATCAGAGCTTGACCCAGCCGGAAGTATGTCGACAGGGACGTCGGGCCTTCAAAGGAGATGGATTGTGATGACCCTGTAAGCGGGTGCGAGACACTGACAGGCTACCACACTGGTAGGTTACGAGTGCACAATCTCACATCGATTTTTTGGGGTAAAGTTTAAGAGTAAAACCGTGCAGGGTGGAATGATCGTTACGAGAACAATAACCTAAAAAAAAAAAAACATAATAGTAATTCCAAACTTTTATTCTTTTATACATTGTTTTGTTTATTCTTAAAATAATTAATGAGCTAACTGTAATTAGTCAATATTCACACCCCTTACCCAAATCAAATGCAAAATGATTTAATGCTTATATTATTGTCGATTCGACCAAATATAGTCCAAGTCACAATTGCTTGGCTCGACCAAATATAGCCCAAGTCACAATTGCTTGACCACTAGAGTCATTTGTCACCATTAGATGCATTAAAATCTATTATTAAAGATCATTAATTATAAATGGTGGGTCAGATAATTTAGACTAAACTATTCATTTTGAAAATCATTTTTCTATTGTATAAAAAAATAATAATAATTAATTAATTAATTAAAAATTAAAAATTAAAAAATTATGGTGTAAGGATGACATGTTATTTGGAATGCATCTATTTTCAAGTCCTATCACTATATCTGAGACGTTTATTTAATTATTATGTCGTATCTGACGGTATGAGCATTTAATTCTTTTTTTTTAATGATATCAGATCATGCAAAAATAAATTCCGAAGAAGATATGTATATAGTTAACCCATGTCATTTAATGATAGAAAATTTGGGAATTCTTAAAACATTTATGCTATGTTGGATACATAGTAAGAAATTGATGTCTTGAAATTTGAATTAAAAAAAAATTAATTTAAAATTTGAATTAAATTATTATTTTTTTTATTTCAAAACATTAATTTCATGCCACCAAACATAAACCCACAATTTAATTCTCGTTGGGGTAATTAATTTTCTACTTTATATTATACCTAACAAAATAAACCAAAAACCTATTGTTTTATGAACCCTTCATCGTCAAAGGACGCATTCAATGGGCAAAGGCAAAAGACTGCAGAGAAAAGCTTGGTGGAATTACCATAATGGGCTTCAAGACAAGTTTAGAGTCAATTTATATTCCATTTTGGTAATAATGAACGACCTCTGTTCAAAGTTCAAAGTCTTCATGCAAAATATTGTCGGGAGAATAATATTTCAACTAACAGGATAAATATATCATAATCATGGAGAGAGAGAGAGAGAGTGCTAGCAAATTCTGGACTGGAGGAGGGTGAAGGGGAATAAAACAATATATATATATATATATATATATAGAGAGAGAGAGAGAGAGAGAGAGAGAGAGAGAGAGAGTGCTAGCAAATTCTGGACTGGAGGAGGGTGAAGGGGAATAAAACAATATATATTTTGGAAGTTCCGCAAATCTAAAATTCTACTGTATTACCCTAAAGAAAGACCATATTTGCAAATCTCTCTTTTAAGTTCAGGAAGGTTCATTGCAACTTCAGGCTGTGTATCAGAATATATATATATAGGGAGAGAGAGAGAGACCTTTGGAGCCATGCTTCCCGGAGTTAATGCCCTAACTAATCCTGAAACATACATTCCTTGCCACGGCCCACAGTCCACCAAGGAAACTAAAGTGAAATTTCATAAAAACGCGTTTTAAAACTTCTATTTAAACAACAATAACTCTTGCAAAGAAAAAAGGAAAGGAAAGGAAAACGACTCCTCAAAGACTCTCTTGCTCTTGTTCTTGTTCTTCTTCACCTTTCACGCCTCAAAACTCTTCTCAAGATCTTGAGACAACCATGTTCAAGGGCAAAGATTTCCCCATTGTGAAACCCCACAAACGATTACAGAATGCTTTCAGAGCCATATACTTCATGGTTTCTTTGTCCAAGAAGGTTTTCAAGAACACCCGAATTCTCACCACTGTCATTCATAGCCCGCCACCCTATGTTGCAATTGATATTCAACCCATCAACCACGATCACGTACCCTTTATCTCCATTGACCATAAGGCGATCGCCGACCTGGTTAAAGAGAGAGACTTTGATGGTCTCCATCAATATGGAGGAGTGAAAGAAGTTGCAGCGGTTCTTGAAATGGATCAGAAGTTCGGAATCAGTGGCAGCAATGCTGATACCAAGCACAGAATCGATGTGTTCGGTTCCAACACATACAACAAGCCGCCTGCAAAAAGCTTTATCAGTTTCGTGCTAGAAGCATTCAAAGACCCAACAATTATCATACTCCTGGTATGTGCAGTTCTCTCTCTTGGCTTTGGGATTAAGCAGCATGGCCTCCAAGAAGGGTGGTATGATGGAGGCAGCATCATTGTTGCTGTTGTGTTAGTTATTGCAGTCTCGGCAATCAGTAACTTTAAGCAGAGCAGACAGTTTGAGAAGCTGTCAGAGAAGAGCAGCGACATAAAAGTGGAAGTAGTGAGAGATGGGCGAAGACAACCCATATCAATCTTTGAGGTTGTAGTGGGTGACATTGTGTGCTTGAATATTGGCGATCAGATTCCTGCGGACGGATTGTTCTTGGATGGTCACTCGTTGAAGGTGGATGAATCTAGCATGACAGGTGAAAGCAACCATGTTGAAGTTAACGAGGCCACAAATCCATTTCTGCTTTCTGGTACAAAGGTTACAGATGGCTATGGCCACATGCTTGTTACTGCAGTGGGCATGAATACAGCATGGGGCCAGATGATGAGCTCCATAAGCCGTGATTTGGACGAGCAGACACCATTGCAAGCCCGTCTCAACAAGCTGACTTCTTATATTGGGAAGATTGGTTTGCTGGTGGCTTTTCTTGTTCTCACAGTTTTGATGATCCGTTACTTCACAGGACACACTGAAGACCAAAGCGGGCACCGGGAATTCAATGGCGGCAAGACCAAAGCTGATGAGATCATGAATGTCATGGTGCGTATCATAGCCGCAGCAGTTACAATAGTTGTGGTGGCAATCCCAGAGGGTTTGCCTTTGGCTGTTACTCTGACTCTGGCTTATTCGATGAAGAAAATGATGGCTGACAATGCCATGGTCAGGAAACTCTCTGCCTGTGAGACGATGGGTTCAGCTACAACAATCTGCACAGACAAAACAGGCACGCTTACATTAAACCAGATGAAGGTCACACAGTTTTGGCTGGGAAAAGAGGAACTGAAGGAGACAACATCATCAGAACTCGCCCCTAATTTTCTTGAATTGCTACAAGAAGGTATTGGTTTAAATACAACAGGAGAAGTATATAGAACAGTATCTACATCAACTCCTGAAATTTCCGGTAGTCCAACTGAGTCAGCCATTCTCTCTTGGGCTGTGTTTGATTTGAATCTGGATCTTGATGAACTAAAGCAAGCTAATGAAATTCTCCACGTAGAAGCTTTCAATTCGGAGAAGAAACGAAGCGGAGTTATGGTGAAGAGAAAAGGTGGAAAGACAGTTCATACACACTGGAAGGGAGCTGCAGAGATGATTCTGGCAATGTGCTCAAATTATTACGCGAGAAGCGGGATGATCTCAGCAATGAATGATTCACAGAGAGTGCAATTTGAAACAATTATTAAAGATATGGCAGCTAAAAGCCTACGATGCATCGCTTTTGCATGCAAAACTGTCACAGGAGAAAGTTTACAGGGTAATGGAGAGCTTGAAGAAACTGGACTGACATTATTAGGGCTGGTGGGTCTGAAGGATCCATGCCGGCCAGGTGTTGGAGCAGCAGTACATTCATGCAGGGATGCTGGAGTTGACATCAAAATGATCACTGGAGACAATATGTTCACTGCAAAAGCAATAGCTATTGAATGTGGAATCCTCAAACCCTATGAAGATTTAAATGATGCAGTAGTAGAAGGTGTAACGTTCAGAAATTACTCACAAGAAGATAGAATGTTAAAGGTTGAGTCTATCCGTGTAATGGCCAGATCATCCCCATTTGACAAGCTTCTGATGGTGCAATGTTTGAAGCAGAAAGGCCACGTGGTAGCAGTCACAGGCGATGGAAACAACGATGCACCTGCACTCAAAGAAGCAGATATTGGGCTCTCCATGGGAATCCAAGGCACAGAAGTGGCAAAAGAGAGCTCAGATATAGTCATCTTGGATGATAATTTCTCCTCTTTGGTGACAGTTCTAAGGTGGGGCAGGTGTGTTTACAATAACATTCAAAAGTTCATCCAATTTCAACTCACAGTCAATGTCGCTGCCCTAGTCATAAACTTTGTTGCTGCACTATCATCTGGTGAAGTCCCACTTACAGCAGTCCAGCTGTTGTGGGTGAATCTCATAATGGATACTTTGGGGGCTTTAGCCTTGGCCACAGAGCAACCCACAAATGATCTCATGGAAAAGTCACCCGTCGGTCGCACTGAACCGCTTATAACAAGAGTCATGTGGAGGAATTTAATTGCTCAGGCCTTGTATCAGGTCATTGTTTTACTGATCTTAGAGTTCAAGGGAAGCTCTATCTTTCATGTGAACAAGAGGGTTAAGGACACCCTCATTTTCAATAGTTTTGTTATCTGCCAAGTTTTTAACGAGTTTAATGCAAGGAAGCTGGAGAAGAAGAACATATTTAAGGGGATACTGAAGAACAAACTGTTTCTAGGAATCGTTGGGATAACGGTAGTTCTTCAAGTGGTTATGGTGGAGTTTCTAAAGAGGTTTGCTAATACTGAAAGGCTAAATTGGGGCCAATGGGGTGCATGCATTGGAATTGGTGTATTGTCATGGCCGATTGGTTGGGTTGTCAAGTACATTCCAGTTTCCGGTGAACACTTTCTCAGCCTTCCAACATATAGAGCTTCTGCATCCTGAAACAGACAACCACAATCAGGTGTTGCATCAAAATCATAGTAGAATTTAGAAGAAAATCTTTCGTGCTTTAATGTTTCTCATTTCTTCAGTCTCTCAATAGTTTCCCTTAGAGGTTTTCCGAATTTCAGTTATTGTAAATGTTAATGCTGCTCTAGGTCTTGAACAGAAGCTTTCTCTGAGAAGTAATTTCCTTTTTATTGATTTTCTGGTTTTAGTGTCTCAATATCTCAAATATATGTGTGCACTCAATTATCATGTGTTTTTTTTCCCCGAGTTGGTATCAAGTTATCATATTATCATGCAAATTCTCCTGGACATCAATGTTGAAGGGATTCCTTAGACATGCAGACAGCTTCTTCCTTTGGGAAGAAAATAGAAGGGTCCATCATTTCCCATGATTTTTATTTTTTCATTTTTTTAATCTACGTTGTTCCTCCAAATAAAAAGGAAATACACAGTCATGCACACATCAAAAAATAAAAAATAAAAAAGTAAAAATTATCCTTCACATTAATTTGTACTTCATGTGAAGGATTAAACAGATGTAGTGTGCTTATTATGTTGATAACAACAAGACTTGCCAAAACTAATCCCTCCTTCCCTGGCTCCCTCCCTCTTTCCTATAGAGGATGATGCATATTTCTATAAATTTAAATAATAATAAAATTAATGAGTTGTACTGTTTAAATAATAATGTTTTCGGAATGGAGTTTTTTGTCAATTAGCTAGAATGTTACTTATTGGGCTTTGCCAAGCTTGCCTCGCTATCCCAATATGCGGAGTTGGTACGTGAAGAAGGCACGTGATGGAATGAGACATTTGGTTTACTACTTTTGTTATTTTTAGTTTTTATTTTTAGAGTGGGTGATCATGTAGTGAGTATAGCCATGTCTATGGATGGAATTTTATTAGTTGATTTTGGTTTATTATGGGGTTTTATTTAAAATGAATAATATTTCATATTGGTGATATGTTCTAGTCAATATTGTGGTGGGTGAATTTGGAAGTTGAATTGAAGTCATGCACCTTATTTAAGTATAGGACACTTTGCTCGTTACTTTTCAACAAAAGAGATACCTAAAATAGGGCAACTGTCCAAAATCATCCTCCACTCTTCATGCAGAAAATATTAGCCAGAGCATAATAATGTGGCTCACAATGGAGGTACTTACAAAATTCTCCATAACCAATTTTCTATTTTCCCCACCATCTTTAAAGTTTCTTTTATGTGAATAACTTCGAGGAAAATTCATTTTCAATGTCATACGTAGTTTAAAAGGATTATTTCATGCATCTTTTCGGAATAGACTACGTGATAGGCAAATGCTGAGCATATTGATTCAACTAATTGCCTTCCCTAAGCCTTCGACACAACACAATTACTTGGCAAACAAACAAAGGTGTACCATTTTTTTTTGAGGATTACAATGAAAAGAAAGAAAAGATACATCTATAGAAAAAACTAGAAGAACCTCATCTGATAGTTTTAGTTCCGAAACAATGAGATCATCATTCTTCCTTCAATTAAAACTACAAGAGAAAAATTTACCAGCAAAAATGCAAATAGTACATGGAAAATCAAAATATACAAACAACGCTGACAAGACTTAAGCAAGCATTGTAATTACAAAGAGTACAGTAGAACCTACCTTCAATGATTGGACAAGGCATGCTGCATAATCTTCTAGTCATACTTCAGATCCAAGAGGTTGTAACACCAGGGAAGCATCATAAGGTGTTGCATTCTGTTAAATACATCTTATTGTTCTTAATTATACAGCCTCCAATATTGATATTAAGCTACATAAAATCATATCCATTTTTAATTTTGATTTCCACGACTCGAAATTTAAGTAAGCTGGTTCTTTTATTTTATTCATTTATTTATTTATTTATAAATAAATGAGTAAGCTAGTTCTTTTGATATCAGCAAGCATAGCTGCAAACTATTACCACCAAGGGGTGTAGCCCAGTTGTTCAAGTCCCATAAGGGCAAAGTGGATGTGAGAGTTACTTGCCAGAATTGAGTATAGATATATATATATAGCTGCAAACTGTTCAGGGTTCACATGTTCAACCCTCCTCGCATTCAGTGAATCAATTAGTGTTAATCCTTCCATGCAATAGCACAAATTAGTTGGTCACTTGGTCTTATAAAAAAGTATATTAAATTGAACAAAAAAACACAAAAATGCTCCAAAAAATGGTTACGATTAAAAAAGAAAAAAATAATAATAATTGATTTGAAAATTAAGGTGTATAAACAGGGGTATATATTGTCAATGCTAACAGAGTGCTCAAGAAGTTATTCCCTAGAATCAACTATCAAATATCAAGACAAGGCAATAGATATAATGTATGTTATATGGTATATTATTTTTGTTAGATTTTGTATAGTTACCCTCTATTTTTGGAGCTTTTAAGTTTCCCTGCATTTCTGAGTTCCAATGAAATTTAGTTGCGTAAAACTCATATATTACGAATATCACCATATTATTAAAAGAAGGGTGCAATACAAGAACTGAAGAACTCGGGAATTTATTGCTTATGTTAAGAAGAAAGAGTGGAAGAAGACGGTGATGTTGAAGCAACAAAGAAGCTCACATTACAGCAGCAAGAGGTACATCTCCTCCTTCTTCTCTCCCTTTTTTGCCTTATTAATTGTGCCATTCACATGGACACAGACAGAGGTAATGGATATACGGTCTGGTGCACGTGTCAACACATGCACTCAAATTGGTGCCTCAGTAAAAGCGATTAATGTTAGAAGTCAGTAAACTAATGTGTTTATAAGGTTTCATAGGAGAAAGAAGCTTATATAAGTTGGTGCATCAATAGTACAAACCAAAAGGAAAACAAAAGTAATCAGGTATACCAAACTCAATTGTCAATCCTGCATGTGGAGGTCAATCCTGCCATTTAGCAGACTTTGGTCAGCTAGCTTCACTAATGACATTCCAGAACCAAAAGATGGAGAAATTTGACAAAATCATATACCAAACTCAATTGTCAATCCTCATATGGGGCAAATCACATCAACAATATTTACCCTAAATCTCCCATTATGACTTCATCTTATTTCAGATTTATCTTTTTGACGATCAACTCCTTTATTCGTTACAGAAGTGGGCCAAGATGTGCATGAATTAAATTTTTTTTTTTTTTTTGGTTAGGTAAGATGGGCATGAATTACAACTACAGCGTTAAGATTTGATCTCAATCTGTTTCTGCTTTAATATCATGTCAACAACCAATATTCTAAAGCTTAAGCAGCTAAAGGATGTTAAGTAATTATGTTACCAAAATGATCCCTTATGTGTAGTCAGACTTCCCTCCAAAAGTGAGCCTAACACGTATTATTATTTGTTATGAACAACTCTTCAAGAAGTGTAAATTATTAAAGATGATGGAACTTAAGTACTTGAATCATCAACACATCTAAAGTTAATGAACCATCAATCTAGAAGTTAGGATATTTATACTAATTCCAAATTACATTGATGGAGATGCAGCCCATGCTTGACCCTAAGCTGTGATTGGGACTCCCATCAATCAGCATGAAGCCAGGCACAAAATTGAAGTCACCACATTCAAATGCCAGCAACACTATTATAAATTTAAAGAATAAAAACTTAATGGTTTCATATAAAGAAATAAATATAACATAATTGGAACTAGCTACTGATTATTTTCAAGATATTAAATTTTGCAAGTTTTAACGATCAACCAATCAGGTAGTAAGAAAAGATTCGATGTTGCCGAAGAACCAGGTTCTGCAACTTCACTTGATTCACCATTCTATAATGGAAAATGATTTGAGTTGCCGAAACGACGTTCGGCTCCCCATTCGGTGTTAAGTTTCGTTTTGCGTATCAGAGTTCTTCTATAATAGCTCATATTATTGGATAAGTAACAGGTTTCAGATTATTATACCAGATTCTACGACTTCATTTATTCCACCTTCATTCGTCTCTCTAGATTTATCATTGATTTTTCATACATTTGAGGGATCACTTGTAAGTTTCACTCAAACAAACGGACTAGTTTTCTATATATAGCTTGAAAAATAAACTTATTACCAAAGGCTTAGCCACATTGATGTGAGTATTTACCAATAAAAAAATAATAAAAAATAAAAAAGGAACAAACCTAATTCATTTCAATCTAGCCGTGAATTCTTCTTCTTCCTTATTTTTTTTCCCGCTCTTTCGAAAAAAAAAGTTCCACATATTTGCTCTTTAATACATATTATTGGTTTTGGCAACCTTTATATAAAATATTTTCAGGTAGAAGTCAAATTCAAATGTTAATTATGCAAACTGAAGTTGGGGAAAAAAAATCTATTTCTTTGTTTATTGTTTGTTCTCTTCAACTGAAAGAGGGAAGACATTGCATTCAACCTAATTTACAATATATTAAAAGAATTGATTAACAGCAAAACAATATTTCATTATAAAGAACCATACTTTTTTCAGACAACACTGCTTACAAAATAAAATAAACGACTAATATAGTGATACTTGTGTTAAACAAATAAGCAATTAACAGAAGTAAATGGCAAATGTGTGCACACGTCGAGACCCACATGTATGTGTATATCTATGTATATACACACATACATATATATAGAGAGAGAGAGAAAGAGAAAGAAAGTAATTGTACCTCCGTTTGAAAGCTCCTTGACATGTGGGACACAGAAAACTGATATAATTGTACGGCCTGAAAATTTAATATTTTCAGTCTTTCTAGGGTTTTTAAAAGAGCGGACAAGACGACATATCTGATCGCTGTGGGGTTGAGGATTATACACCATTACACTGGTCTTTAAGAATGCCTTCCCGGATTTGGGTTTGGAGTGAACTCGGGTTGACCCACTAGACAATGGATCATTTTGTGGGGATATATAATGTGGACCCGGAAAGGAAAAAGAGCTACGACAATCTCCAATGCAAAATGTCATTTTGCTTGTCAAATTTATATTTATAGTGTCAAAATGTTATATTTTAGTAATTCGCTTCAATTGTGCATCTCATCCAAAATGTTATTTTTTGACACAACAACCATTATTTTTCAATTATAATTTTCAACAACCAATTTTTTTATTTTTTATTTTTGTGTGCTTGTGTTTGTATTTTATTTAGCTTATTTGCCTTATTAAAAATAAATAAATAAAAACTCTGACATATATATATATATATATATATATATATATATATAAACATAACATACATATATATACAAGTATAACAGACATATATACACACAAATATATATATGTGTGTAATAGCATGCTAAATGGGTTACCAAAATATAACTTTGCCAATTGTGCCAAATATAACAACATATAGCTATTACCAAATCTGCTATTGCTCTCTTCCTTCCCTCTTCTTTCTCGCATGGGTTGTCAATTTGGTATTGGGCTTGTGTATATATGTATGTCAGTTGTGCTTATATATATATACACAAGCCCAATACCAAATTGACAACCCATGCGAGAAAGAAGAGGGAAGGAAGAGAGCAATAGCAGATTTGGTAATAGCTATATGTTATTATATTTGGCACAATTGACAAAGTTATATTTTGGTAACCCATTTAGCATGCTATTA